GGCCGCGGGGACCTGGGCTCCCCGTGCCTGCGAGCCACCGCCGAGAGCGTCACTCCAGAGTTCTCCGCTGAGGTGGGAGGATGCCTTCAAGCATCGTTTTGTCTAAATATGGCAATCCAAGGTTTTTGAGCCACAAAGTATAAAAACCGCTTTTCCCTATGGTTTGGATTACTGCAGTGAGTAATGCCAGTTTCTTAGTTTAAAAAAAAAGGGGGGGGCGGGGGGAAGTGAGAGTGGGGAAAGTAATAGTAAATATTCATCACCTGGTAACCCAAAAGGTTTTAATTTTCTTCGTCCACATTTGCATACCAATTTAGTCTTAATTCAAGGCATGAGCGGGCTGCACTGGGAGGTTTGGTTACTGTATAGGACATTCTTTTTGGTAATTTAAAGGAATGCCAAAGCAAACACAGTTTTAAAAAAATAACCCTAAAAAGTAAATGGTGTAGTTTGTTGCCCTCCACGTGGCTAGCTGTCTCAAAGGTCATAAAATGGTGGGACAGCTGGGTTTATGCAGCATATGCAGATTGTTATTTTGGCTTTCAGCCAGATCTACCTAATTTTTCCATTTTGCTTCTATGATGGGGAGAGGTGGTTAAGGTGACTTCAAGGGGCAATTCAGTGTTTTCATTCATATTTGTATTAAAGAGCCTTTTAAGAGTATTTAAGATTAGAAACCAGTCTAAATAAAATTCAGATGGAAAAAAGGCGAAGTTCACTTGTTTTCTCAACAGGCTGAGCCTGCCGGCAGGCACAGCCCCAGCTCGCGCCATCAGACAGCCAGCACCTCACAGCTCTTTACGCACTGCGGTTACGGGTGATGATACTGCGAGGCCAACCAACAGAAGCCAGAAAACTGCGCTGGTCCCGTAGCCTTCCCGAGTGTGGTGTTTCTGTCTGTGCGTACGTATACATCTGTACACGTAGCTGTGTGCATAGAGCAAAGAAGAATTGCACGCATCCGGCAATCCTCTGTGCTGCGACTGCTGCAGACTCGGAGGAGGAGTGTGTTCTGCAACTTGCTGGCTGCCAGCGGCGAGGGTGGCACGCAGCACCCAGCTGCTTCGGCAACTCCCAGCCGGGCACACCACCCTGTTGGCAGGTCCTGCCCCACGCCCGCCCCCCCTCAAGAAAACAGACCAAC